GGGGGGGGGCACGACCCCGGGGAGGAGGGGAGAAGGACGTCGAAATGTTCATCGATCGGACGGGCAGCACGCGAGCGCACGCACGCACACACGCGCACGGAGGGTCGGCACCGCGGCCGGCCTCGGCGACGGCCAGTAGTGTTTCCACGCAGTGCGCCCGGGCCGACCCCACGACGACGACGACGACGGCGGTGTGTATCCTTGCTCTTCATCACTACCACCATGCTCACCACCAGCGCCGCCACTGACCAATACCACCACCACTCACCGCCGCACGCGCCGACAGAGAGCAACAAGCAGAGAGCCAACGCGGCCAGTGCACCCGCGGCCGCCTGCATGTCGGAGCGGTCCCTTCACAGCAAGGACTCCCGCCGCTCACTGCGCGGGAGGCAGGGCGGGCGCGGGCAGGACGCGGCTCGGCGGCCGCGGGCGTGGCGTGGCGCGGCACAGACTTATCACGGCGTTTATCTTTATCAATTTCGTTATTGTCTCTCCTGAGTGATGGCGCATGGCACCTCCTGGGATTCCGACGCGTATCGACGTCACCGTGCGGCCCAGCGGCAGATGATTCGCATATGGCGGGACCTTTGTGCGGCGAGGGCGTCCAGGTGGCCCCACATTGGTCACCCATCACACATCACACCCGTCGTGACCGACGAGTCGTAGCCACGAAGGGTGTAATGGGTGCGACGGGTGACCATACTGGGGCCACCTTAACAGTTTTAAATGGCAGCGATAAGCATGGCGACTCGGACAGAGGGTAATTTTCGCGAGCACCTTCGCTAGCGTGCACACGCGCGACTCTATTTGAAAAGCGCGCGTTCGGCGTGAGCTTCGCTGATTCGCCGTCAAGGTGGCGCCAGGATCGTAGTCACTGCCCGCTGATCGACGGCCTGTATCGATCGCTCATGTGTTACTCAAAATGATATGCATTTTTTCCTAATGATCTAACATGTAGTAACATATTTTCTTGGCACACATTTGATTGGAAAGAGAGTTTCACTACGACGGATCATCACGAACACCTAAACCAAGCCACCAACTCCTCGCTGATACAACGAAAGATAGGTTAGGTCGTTCCCCCTCCGTCCCCGCACCCGCACCTCCCCTCCGGGCCTCGTTCTTTTCAGCTCGGGAAATTTCTGGATTGCCTCGCTGCTCTGCGGCCCGAGAACAAACGTCTGTGGTATGTTTCTACCTTGTCCAGTGTGAGATTAGTTGTCGTCGGGAGAGAGCGCAGACTTTTGTGTTCGTGCGAAGACCGTGTGTTTCGCATTTTTGGAAACTCGTGGGGAATACTATACGTCAAAAGCAAGTGTTTAGGCCCTCTGCACTGCTAGCTCTGGCCCCCTGTGAGTGAACGTACGAAAATCTCGTCCTTGCTAGTGTGGTGCCCGCTCTTTGTTCGCGATTGTCACGCTCGTTGTGGCACCTCACTCTTTTCTCATTGAGTCACATTATTGGTTTTATGCGTTTGTGCGTCAATATTATGTGAACTAAAATTGCTTCACTTTGGCCAACCAAGGCTAGTCCTTACATAACCTAAAGCCGGAAGAGGCACTATACTCACTGAATAACTGCGAATCTCGTGGGTTCAAGGCAAACTTAAGCTTGATAATTTTATAATTTTCTTATCCTTTCCCTCTTAGTTCCTGTACCAGACCGGCGTAATTTTCCTTTATTTTATACAACCTAGTGGAACTTTTCACAGGTTCTCCAAGTTTAATTATTTGTCATTTTTTTAAATTGTACATTTTATCTTGTGTGGCCCCTAATTTTGATGACATTTATTTTTCATTGATTTGTTTTTGGTAGCTTATAACTGCACAGCACTCTTATACTTGCTGTTATTATTAAAATTAACCATATATTGTTTTTTTTTTTGTTTACTTGCAGACTTAAGCAAACTGCTGAGTCAAGATGGTGAAAGAAACGAGGTTTTATGATATTCTCGGAGTGAAACCTCAAGCAACTACTGAAGAAATCAAGAAATCATACAAGAAATTAGCTCTGAAGTACCATCCTGATAAAAACCCTGATGAAGGCCACAAGGTTAATCTCAATTTTTTATTTATAACTCATGACTAACATCCTTATCTATTCCTATTAACCTGTACATTTTGGTATTTGTTTTTGTGTTTCAGTTTAAAGAGATAGTCCAAGCATATGAGGTGTTGTCGGACCCTGAAAAAAGAAAGACCTATGATAGATTTGGAGAGCAGGCAATCAAAGAAGGAGCTTCAAATGGAGGTGGTGGTTTTGGACCTGGTGTTGACATGTTCGACATGTTCTTCCGAGGTGGCAGCTTCTTCGGAGGTGGTGGTGGAAGGAGTGAAAGAGCCCGACATGCTAATGATGTGGTTCATCAGCTAAAAGTATCTCTGGAGGAGTTATACAAAGGAACCACTCGCAAACTTCAATTACAAAAGAATGTTGTTTGTAATAAGTGTGAAGGTACAACATTGTTCTCTCTCATTTATTTTGTTACTATTTTCATGTGTTTGCCCTGACATTGATAATCTTGTCCTTGCTCTTCAGGAAAGGGAGGTAAAAAGGTTGAAACCTGTCCCAACTGCAAAGGTGTTGGTGTACAAATTCAAGTGCAGCAACTGGGCCCTAATATTGTGCAGCATGTTCAGAGCACATGTGGCGAGTGCCGTGGGCAAGGTGAAAGGATAAGTCCGAAGGACCGCTGCAAGCAGTGTAATGGAAAGAAGGTAATACTTGCTCTCTACATGTTGTCTGTAGTCAGTTCTACCTTTTTTATCAAGTGGCTAATTTGTTTAAATTATTTGATTTAGACCATTCCTGAGCGAAAGATTGTTGAAGTGCCCATTGACAAGGGTATGCAGGATGGACAGAAAATCAAATTCTCTGGTGAGGGTGATCAAGACCCTGGAGTAGAGCCTGGTGACATGATTGTTGTCCTTGACGAGAAGGAACATGAAGTATTTAAGTATGTGATTCAGTTTTATTCACTCGCTCTGATATACTTTAATTGTTTTTATACTGCTCCCTTTTTTTTTAAATGTAAATACTATTTGCTTACCAAGGGTGCTTTCTCTTGCAGACGGTCTGGAAATAATCTCATCATGAGAATGCATCTTGAGCTTGTTGAGGCTATTTGTGGTTTCCAGAAGGTTATTAGAACTCTTGATGACAGAGATCTTGTCATTACATCTCTCCCAGGTTAGTCTTTTCTTTACTATTATAATCACTAGATTTTTTTTTATCTAAGGGCCCATTTACGATCGTTTTGGCTTAGTTAATATAAATTCGATTTTATTTATGCGAAGGCGGTTTTGTCATTAATTTAAGGGGTTTTCGCGGAGAGGCATTTACGATCGTTTCCGCATGTTTCCGAGGTTAAGTAAAATTCTTGGCGCCGTCGCCATGTTTGTTTGGCATTTCCGCCATTCTCATTGGCTAGTTCGTACTTCGTGCCCTCGGCGGGATAAAATTTAAGGGTTTATTTTAACCAAGAGGCTAGCTTAAATTTTATTTTCCATCCCGATGAAAACAATTCTCACTAAGCGGGCCGTTTTATTTAAGCCAAGGATTGATCGTAAATGCTACCATAAGAACCAATGCTACGGAAATTTCATATTAACTAAGAAAAACGATCGTAAATGGGCCCTTAATTCTAATTTTTATGCTATTTCTTTTAAGTGATTAGTATCATTCATATTTTTATCTGGTCATTGTCATTGTTTTACTCGCTCTTGCAGGTGAAGTAATCAAGAGTGGTGATGTTAAGTGCATAGTTAATGAGGGTATGCCTCAGTACAAGAATCCATTTGAAAAAGGCAAGCTCATCATCCAGTTCTTGGTGAACTTCCCAGCAACAATTGACCCTGCACTTATTCCCCAACTTGAACAGTGCCTTCCACCTAGGTACAGTGCAATTAAATTAAGTTGTTCACTTAGTGCATTTATTTTTCAACCAGAATAGGATTTTAATGGCTTTGTTATCCACTTTTGCAACAGGGAAGAAATCATGATTCCTAATAATGCTGAAGAGGTGATGTTGGTTGACATGGACCCTGCGCAATCAAGGCGAGACTCCCGCAGCGAGGATGAAAACTGTGGAAGAGTACAATGTGCGTCACATTAATTAAAGTGGTCTTTTTTAATTTATTTACTAAATTTCACTCCAATTGAGCTTTCCTGTAACACTGATCTTAGAAGTGATACTGCATAATAATTATCTATTGGTCAGGTTTTAGGCTTATCCTCTCAATCAGTATAAATAAGACTACCATTCCAGTGTATGCAAGTGAAATATAGGTTTATTTCAAAGCTAGCTTCTCTTAATTTTAGTACCCTTTTGTCTGATCTTGTACTATCATCTTTCAATATTCTATCATCAAACACAAGTAAGTGTGTGTTGTGTTTGTAGTTGGTAGCACAGTAGAACCTCTTCACCTCATCGCATTTTGTTCCAGTCCAAATATTGCTAGCTGATGATCATTGTAATACTTTCGCCTGTGGATTTTTTTTGCTGTCAATTTGTTACTCTTTTGCCATCATACTGAAATTGATATTTGGCTTGAACCAATTATTTTCATCAAGTGATAACTTATGTCTTATATGTAGGTAGAAACCAATTGTTATACAATGCTATTGATAACTTTTGAAGTTTGTCTTCTAGGTACAAATTTATACCAGCAGATTCTCTGTATTTAAATTAAAATTATGAAGATCTTCTAGCTTCCCTCTGAATCTTGCCCAGCAGTCATTCTGTACCATGATTATCACACATTTGGTTGTTACTTTATGAAGTTGATCAAATTCTTGACCAAGGAAATGTTTCCTTGTTGAATTTTGAGACAGGTTCATATGGGTACATCGCTTTAGTTCTTAGCGCTGCTTTCTTCTGATTGATATTCCTGCATTGGCGGAAGTAATTAATTCGTCTATAGAAGGTTCAGTTTAAGCTGACTCGGGCTGTAGCTAAAATCGTGTACATACAAACGGACGTCATTTGGGTAAACAAGTAAAGAAGATACAAAAGCACCAATTAATTAAGGTCTAAATTTTTATTTATTACTGACTTAGGTACAAATTGGTTGGTTATCACTGACACGAACTATATACATAAATTAAAATTACAAGATCTATGTATGACAAGATTCCTGAGTGTAAAGAGAATCTTTTCCATACTTCATGTCCTGTATGTTCATCACACACTCCACACAAACTAGTATTCAGTCTAATCACTAAGGCATCTTCAACTCTGAACAAGTGGTTTGTACAGAGAAATTTGCTTATCCATGGAGCAGCAAATTCTCTTGATCATGATTAGCCTATGTCTATGGACTGCTCCTTGCATTTTGTCTTTTTACCGGCAGGCAGCATTTAAATTAGGTGTGACATTTGTTATCTCCGATACTGTGAGCATGTGTATTTAACGAACACATCCCTAGGGACGGGATCCGAAAAAAAAGTCGTTGGCGGGTGCTCCACCCGGATGTGTTTCCTCGAAGACGACAGAGGGAGCAGCGATAACGAGTGTGACTCGCGCACTCGACATCATATTACAAAATAATGTTGGCACAGAAGGTACAACCCCGTCCGCGCGGGACGGACGGGGAGGGAGGGCGAGAGGCACCCTCACCGCGGCAGCCTGAGGTGCGAGAGGGCCAGCGAGACGGTGACGAGGAGCAGGAGCCCGTGCGCGGCGCCAGCCTGGAGCGCGCCGGGGGCCGCGTTGTAGAAGCCGCCGTACACCTCCAGCCCCGCCGTCTCGATGCTGCGCTTGCAGTAGTCGCCGTCTGCGGAGAGAGAGAGAGACAGTCAAGTTAGGGGTCGTTCCAATTTTACTACCTGACTATTGGGGGGGGGGCGTGCACTGCGAGGCGCCGCACTCCACCATATAGGGGGGTTCAGAAACCACGTGTACTTTAGGGGGGTACAAATATTATAGGGTCCCAGAAGGATCAGGAACATTATTGGAGCCCACGGAGACCTATGATATTTGTACCCCCCTACAAGTAAGCCAAATGTTAACCAAAGGCACTATTTCAGCGCGCACACGTACCGTAGGTCCACCCCGCAAACTCGGCCGTCCTAAGGTTCTCGTTCTGCAGCCACTCCTCGAGCGGGCGGAAGTACTCGCGCAGCGCGGACCCGTTGAGGCGGCTCTCACCGGTGGCGGCGTACAGGGCCTCGCCCCAGGTCGCGCTGGACCCTTGCTCCATCAGCCTCCTGCAAACAGGGCAACACATCATGAGCAAACAACAACTAATTTCCTGCCCAGCGTGATTCATACTGATGAACCACGTGTTTCGTTTCTCCCTCAGCCCTTAAACTTCAACAAATAGGCGGTTATCACGGCTGCTATGCTCCTCAAGGAAGCGGGAGCGTCATGTCGGTGGTGTGAGTCCGATACCGGCACGTGCACGCTGTCGCACCGCGCGCGCCGTCTCATTAAGTCGGTTTTGCATTTCGGCAGTGCAGACGTAAGTGACTGATGAAGAGTTGTGTCTCGGGCAGGGCGGGACAAAAAAGGCGCGCAGTTCGCAGATAGTTGCGGCGTCATCGGTATGGTGGTCATCGTGTGCGGGGGAAGACAGAGGAAAAAGGGGGGGGAGGGGGGGCGCACGTGGCGCGGCGTACGTTGGGTTGCCGACCACCCGGGCGGCAGAAGGCGCGGGGTACTTCATACTTTAAAAAAAAATCAATGTACATCCCCCAAAAATTAAGGGAAAAAAACAGAAAAAATCGAGGAAAAGTCAAGAAAAAAAGAAGAAAAAACACAGACAAATCAGAAAAAAGAAGAAAAAGAAAAGTTGCCATACGCTCGCTGGTTAGCCAGGAGGGTGGGCAGGGAGAGGCAGGCGCCACCGGTGCCCCAGTTCGATGACGGGCACCCCATTCGCCGTGGCACGGGGGGTCCAGAATAGTCTCTGATAAAGCCCCCTCCTGCCGAATCCAATCGTCGCCGAGTGTCGACGGTCAGCAGCAGCAGCCCCGTCCAGTCAGTAGTAGTAGTAGTAGTATCGGATCAGATCCAATGGATTGCGTCACCTGGCCACTCGTCAACACACGTCCCTGCCATCACCACTAAACGCTTCCGGCCCGGTCCGCAAAAGCGCCTCAACCAGGCGGCGCGGCCCACCCAGTTACGGCCGGCGGCGGGGCGTGGCGGGGCGTGGCGGCGCGCCGCGCTTTGGGCGTTTTGGAGCCGCGTATTAATTACGCGCCGGCCGTCCGGCCGGGCCAGAGGAGAATGGAACAAGCTCCCTGCAACGCCCTGCCCCGCGTCCCCGTCCCGCCCGTCTTCCCTTCCGCTTATCAAAAAAAACCTACTTGAGGATCTTGCCGGCCTCCTTGGAGCGGTAGATGTCGCACTTGTGCAGCTGCAGCTCGTCGTTGTCCGGGTCGTACTGGCCGGCGGCGCGGCACATGGCCTTGTGGATCTGGAACTGCAGGATGGTCGCCACGAAGTACCTGCGGACAGAGCGCAAAACACCAAGGGGTAAGTAGATGCAGGGGAAGTTGTGGAGCAAAACATGAATGTGAAAAGGAAAATTTTCCGGAAAAATTCGAAACCCTTCTAGAAAAATTTGTCTAGAAAATATTAGAAAAAAATTAAAAAAATATTTGAGGAAACAATTTAATGTGAAACAAATTCCTAAAAAAAAATTCCCCAAAATACTTCACCGCAGAATTATAATCTCTAGCTGTGGAGCAATATAATGGACAGCGACGAGGTGGACACAGCGATCACCCCAGCTGGACCGGACTGCTCATCCGTTCAGTTCGACAGCCCCCCCCCCCCCCCTTCTCTTTCGGATTATGTCGAAATGCTAACGAGCCTGGGCGAGCGCCGCGGCGCCGCGCGGCCGCAGCCACTGCTGCTTTGACGATGACGGAGAGTCGCACTTAGTTTCCTCAGTGCACTTCATGGCACTACTTCATGGTGCGCGCGGGGCGCTACTCCGTCACGTCATGAGCGCAACCGGCGAGCGATTTCGGCACGACGCAGCAGAAGGGCGACGCACGAGCGGCCGTCAAGAGTGGATGAGCCCGACGCGCCGAGGGCCGGCCAGGGCAGGGCGCCCGCGGGGACCTTCACGGCGGTGAGCAGCACGGGGCGCCTGGAGGTAGGCAACCTGGCTCGAAGCGGACATGGCTGTCGGGCGGGTCTGCCTACCGGGCCAGGGGCTCCCCAGGCGGGCGAGGTCAGACCGGCGCGCAGGATAGGAGGCAGGAGGAAGATGGGGATGCCGCTCTCATTCCAGTTTTGCACAGCTTCCTATCTGCCGGTCGCCATAGGAGGTGGCCCGGCGCCGGCGACGGACAAGGCACCCCTGCGGAGCCAGTCCAGCCTGCCGGAGGAGACTTCGGGAGACTTCCACCAGTTCATAGGACGGCAAACAGCTGCTGCTGCCACCGCGGCCGCCACTGCTGCTGCATGACGTAATGGCCTGGAGCACGATCCGTCCGGCCCAGCACACTGCACGCCAGCCAGCGCCGCGCCGGCCACGCCCCGATCGACCAGCCTCTACTGACCCATATCGCCCCCCGCCGCGCGCCACGCCGGCCGGCGCCAGCGGCCCTACAGCCCCGCGAGGGCATCCCCTGGAAATGAGGGAAGGGGTTGCCCTCAAGGGGCATTTCACTCGAGAAAATCAGTGAGCACCATCCCAAAAGATCAGAAAAAATCGAGAAAAATTAATTTAAAGATGCTTTTCAAAAATCTTAAAAAATCGGAAATAATCGCAAAATCAGAAAAAAAAAATCAAGAAAAATTGGCGTACGCTTAAATTTTTAATGAGGTACCCCTTGATTGCCCTACAGCACATGTTCCACAAAAGGGTCGTGTAGCGTTGTGGGGCACCCATGAGAAGGCACTTCTGCACTACTGGATAGGCTTGAAGGAGTATCCTCCATCATTAAGGCTTCTACGGGGATGGCTTGATCGACGAGAAGTTCAAACCCTCTTCAACAAACGCGCATAGTCTTCCGATACCTCGACCTCATATCGTTAGCGTTACGCGGCTAGGAGAGAGGGGGCGTTCCCGGGGCGATTCCCAGCCCTGCGCCACCACACACACAATGTCCACTCCACGCCACAACCGCACCACGCGAACCTGTCATCGCCCATAACATGCGGGCCCTCCGCTCCGCTCGCTCTCGTTGGCAAATTTTAATTAAAGTCCCATGCCGCCCCCGCCCCCGGCAGCGCCACGCCACGCCGCTGAGCGCTTTTCCCACACGCGGGTCTCGCGGCCCGATGAGATGAGACTTCATAACCGTGTAGTACACCGCCACGCCACGCCAACGCGAGGGAGGCGGTGGCGGCGGAAACGGTCCAGTTTGTTAGATCTATGAGGCGCGTTAACGGATTCGCACCACGTCCCATCATCATCTGCTCCCCACCTGCCGGGCGGCTCTCGCCCGATGCGGGTCCAGACGCACCGCGCGCGGCCGGATGTGTTGGGACCAGCCCGCGCGCTCTAGTTCCAAACGACTTTTTAAATAATTTCGAGAGTGGGCGTGAGGAGCACCTTTCGAATGTGTTGCTAAAATTAACAAGATTAAACTATTTCCTTTAAGGGCAATTTCTTATTCCCCCCCCCCCATTTTTGTCAGTTTTGTGGCGAGATTCTGCGGCTTTAAAACACATTTCTCAGACATGAAGGATTGACAGGGTTTGTTTCATGTAGAGGTTGCAGATCGGGGAAGATCGCGGGTGCGTGAGTATGACCCGGCTCCGTAGCAGCAGACAGAGGGGCTAGTTGGGCTGCAGAACGGATTGCGACACGGGGCGGTAATCTCCACGTGTACGTACGGAGTGTCCGCCCCACACCAGCGGAACAAAGGCCGCCGCCTGCACGTAACGCCCTGCCCTGCCTCGCCCGGCCAACCCGCTCGATCGTGGAGGTGTGAAGGGAATTACCCCTCCTGGACCACCGGCCCATTACCGGATATCGCTCACTCACCAACTGCTTCGGCCCGGCGCGGCGGGTTCGACCACCACGGACGTCTTGCTTTCTCCGACACGTATCGCGCTATTATTTCCACTTATTTTTCTCGCTTTAACAAGAAGGAAGTGTTAGGGGTTGGGGAAGGGGG